GATAGATAGAGTGTGCATGTGTCTACATATATATCATGGAGCTCAAGAAGTCCTTCGAGACCAGCTCTTCTAACTCACTCCCCATTTCACAGATGAGGAAGCTGAGGAGAGCAAAAAGGAAGAGATTCATTTGCCCAAGTTACACTCTGGGTCAACTGCAGAACTGATGCCAGATCAGACTCCCTTTTCAGTGCTCTTTCTCTACCCAGGAAGCCACTTGCCCCCATGAACTCTTGGTGAGCTCTTATCCAATGAAGAGGACAATGGAGACACCTCACACCCACCTCCAAGCCTCGGCTCCTTTCATTTATATTCTCCAGATAAGGGGTGAAAAAGGGTCATGCCACATACCCCCCACAATAGCCGGGGTCCTGCAGGAGCACACGGATAGTGCCTATGTAGTGACAGGAATGCAGCAGGGCCCCACATCTCTGGTTTCTTTTTAGGTTTTTCTGCTCTTAGGTTTGGGAATCTGGCGATTTTGTGGAGTCTCTTTGTAGCATCTTCCAAGAACCTGGCACTCACCCTTCCTCTCTGTGCCTGTGGACTTTGGTCTTTCCTGGTGGATTTTACTCTGTCTCCATGCCTCTGTGCTTCTCCTTCTCATGACCCCCTTATCCACCCCACCCACCCCCCATCTGTCTCTGACTCTGTCTCTGCTGATTTCCGTGTAGAGCAAAGTCTCATTCACTTGGCTACCAAAGTCAGGATCTGTGATGACTCAGAATTACTGAGTAGAAGTTTACTCTTCCTTAGTGAACACTTTCTCCTAGTCAGTCAGACAATGTGGTTGTATAAACCAGATGTCAGGGGGAAGGTTTACAAGCACAAAGGGAACAAACTGCTTTCAAGCCATCCAAGGCTCTTAAATTCCAGCTTGGGCCTTTTGGGACAGCAAGTGCATCACTGGGCAAGAGTGCCCCGGGTTCTGGCTTCTGTGTGCCATTTCTGGCTGGGTAACTTTGACAAACCACTGTGTTCTGCCGCTGCTTCGCCCACTCAATGGGGATAATGTACTTAATTCCTAAGGTGAGATGGGTACAGTGGCTCACACCTGTAACCCCAGCATTCTGGGAGGTCAAGGAGGGAGGATCACTTGAGCCCAGGAGTTTGAGACAAACCTAGACAACATAGCAAGACTGTGTCTGCAGCACAAATCCAAAAATTAGCCTGAGCTGGTGGTGTGCACCTGTAGTGCCTGCTAATTGGGAGGTTGAGCCAGGAGGATCACCTGAGTCCAGGAAGTCAAGGCTGCGGTGAGCCATGAGCATGTCACTACACTCCAGCCTGGGCAACCGAGTGAGAACCTGACTTAAAAATAAAAATATATAATTTCTAGGATGGCCATGTCTCCAGCCAGGTAACGTGCTCCCGCGCCTTTGGGAGACTGAGGTGAGTGGATTGCCTGAGCCCGCGGGTTCGAGACCC